AACATAAAGCAACGTGGTGGCTTAACAGCAAGTTCGACTGACAATTTTATAGCTGATTCTAATTTTTTACAAACAAAATCTTAAATTTTTGTGACTCAAGTTATATCATTTAAAAATGCCTGGGGAGTTTCCCATTTAAAGGCTGGACCTTCCTGAGAGGTGATGGAAACCTTTGATATGGAATAACTGCCTGCCAGGGAACGTTCCAGAAGTCTGGTATGAGTTTTCTTAAAGAAAGGCCCAAGAGAATGTGGGCTGAAGTGAAATACTCACATAGAGCTAGCCTGATCTTTGATCTTATTATGTTTCCCTATCCTACCAGATCCAAAAAAATCAGATTTTTGAAGAAGGGGTTATTTTTCTTTCTGTGCATTTTGGGACCGCTGGCATTCAATGCAGTTTCCATAAAAATGCTCTTGGGTATTTTTGGAACTAAAAAGAATGAATAGAATTAACTTATAATTTTTGCTAGAAGGAAAAATGAATATTCACTTTCAGAAACGACCTTCAATTTGCCAGAAACAGGACGGACGGCGACTGTGAGGCCTGTCCTGCAGCTGAGATCTGGGTGGCCGCTTCTCCCTCCCCGTGCTGGAGTGGAGACCTGGCTCAGATGATGATGGCGACGCCCTCGGTCCTCCACCTCCCACAGAGCCCAGGTGAGCGAGCACAAGACCCCAGGAACAGCCCATTCCGAGGGTACTGCTGCTGGGGGGAAGCTCACATCTCCAGGGAGAGGAAACTGGGGACATCTCGGTTTCGTCTCTGAGGGTGATGCAGCGTGTGCCACGAACTGGAACTCCGGAGCTGTCTTCGCATTCATTAATCGCGCGACCTACTCCTTCCACAGGCATTTTTAGGCACCTAACCTGCAGTGTGCCGGGCGATCACAGTGTATTAGGTCGAACCACGTGAAATTGCAGTTTTATAGGTAAGAAACAGGAATACCGGCAATTTCCTATGGTTAAACCTACTGCTACTCGGGAGACGTTCCTGAGCTAGTGTTACTAGGGTTCCTCCCGACGGCATCACAGAAGGCGCAGCGAGCCCAGTCGCCATTTGCCAAGGGCATCCGGGTCTGCCCGGTCCTTGCAGAGGCTGGATACGTTTCCACCACACGCTGATGGCGTAATGCTCTGTGACTTTAGAGGAATGGATCCTTGCTTTAGGTCAGCTTCTCCCAGACACCCTCTGATGCAGAGAAAGGCTGGGGTCCCCCGCTCCTTTCCTGCGCTCTCTGGGCCCTGTTCTGCAGTATGGAGAGGTGGCCGGCCTTAGGAAAGCAATTCCGAACTGCAAAGGGAAGGCAAGCTCAGGTGTTCTCTTCTTGTCCACATGCCACTGGAGCGAAACGGTACCCAAAGTTCAGTGGCAAAGGTGCTCACCGATGTCTTTAAACTCTGTGGCCAAAGAAGATAACCCGGTAGCCCTTCACTAATTTAATTCAAAGTTAGGGTGCTCGCTCTCCACTGTATTAAACATTTTGTTAACCAGATTCTCTGGCGACATGACGAAGGTCATTTACTCTCATGCCAAATTGCCCAGTTGGAGGAATAACCGAGAAGATCAAGTTTAATACAGGAAACCAAGGTTCTGGGACACTTTCACGCTACAGATGTCTGGTGTGCGCTCGTTAAATGATTACATTTGCTCAACAGTAGTTTCCAGAACCACCTCACCAGCCACCGACAGGGCAACCTCTTTGGCCACGAGCAACCTGGTGAACATCGACCACAGCTCCTCAGCCTCGGTACTGGTGACATCTGGGGCTGGAGAAGTGTTTGCTGTGGGGGACTGTCTTTAGCATTGTCGGATGTCGAGCAGCATCTCTGGCCTCTACTCACTAGATGCCCGTAGCCTTCCTCTCTGGTTAGTTGCGAGGCACTAACTAGGTCCGAGGGCTCTTCTACAACCAAATGCAAGCTGAATGATCTGTGAGTGGGGAGAGTGGTTTCCTGGGGGCAGGACCCGTGTCAGCTTCTCCAACCCCGAGGAATGATCTAGAGAGAGAGTACTATCGAGAGAAGGAGTTATACAGAGTATTAGGGCGTATTACCCACCTTGACAATTGTATCCCTTCCAGCCAAACTCAAGGTTGAAGAAACACTGGTTTATCCAGGTAAAGAGGTCTCGGGCAAGAGGTGGGCTTCTGGCCTCGGTCATCGCTCCACAAGGGAGAGGGTTAGGGGAACAGTGACAGAGATCTCTCTACCCACCTCTGGGCCTTTGCATGACACCTCTGCCTAGAATAGCCCCTTCTTTTCCCAGCTTCATCCGGAGCCTAGTTATCCTTCAGGTCTGAGCAGAAATATCACTTTCTCCTAAAAGGGCTCTGGTCTCTCCCTGACACCACCCCCCCTGCACACGACTTCCCACCTTAACTCACACGCACCACACGTTGGTATATACTGCAACTCTGGTTTTCCGCTGGTTGCCCCCATTCCGCACGAACCCCATGAGGGCAGGGACCCTGTCCCTACTGGCTGAGCCACATGCTCACCCCAGAAGCCCGCCAAGTGTCCACAGCTGTGGATCTCTCCCCACAAACATTTTCTGTATTCCACTGAATGGCAGGGGAGAGCCAATGGCGAAGTTCATGGGTGGAAATCTAGCACGTGGTCATCGCATCAAACAGTTTCATCAATGTGTGCACTGGATCACCGTTGCCAAGGCGACAGGATTGGAGTGTGCGAGGCAGAACAGGTGGCGACAAGGACGGAAGGGGTGAAGGTTCCCATCTTCACCCACGTATGTTTTAGATGTTCGACAGACCCTCATTATGATACACCCGTTAGACGAATGTTTTGTACCCCGAGTCAAATCACATACCTGTCAGTGTATCAATAATATAAACCACAAGCCCAATGAGACAGTTCTGTTCTTCAAATCCAGTATCCTAAGGGGGCGATAGCTTACATATTGATCAGGGAGGGGTGGGTAGCAAGGTGAGGGGGAGGGCCGTTCCAAGAAGACTCAGTGAGGACCTCATGATGTCTGCGTTTCAGAGCACAGGTCGTGATCAGCACGTGGGCAGCGGGCCACCTCTCGACATCTAATCTGTGGTTCCCCATCGCCACTGCCAGGTTCCAACATCAAGAACACAGAGACATTTCCGTCTAACTTTTATATGAAGAATTTAATTATCTATACACGTAACTAATTCAGAAGGTTGTATTACAGTTGTTAAAGCCGCAGGTTTATATATTTATATATTTTACATTCATATCCATGAAAACACCAAAGCCGCGCGCGAACAAGGACGAGCAGTCCCCGTTCCCGGCACACGTGAGTGGCGGGGACCGCGACACAATTGCCAGCACAGGGTCTCCAAAGGCGGAGACGTGGAAACAGAAGGTCACCACAGGTGAAAAACTCATTAGTAGAACTGCCAGATTGTGCGCGAGGCTTCCCCCACCCCGTTTCCTGTGCTGTCAGCGACGGGCGTTTTTATTGAGAGCTTCCGACGAGTGTTTAAAAGACAAACATGGCTTCAGCTACAACACGTCTAACACATAAACGGACCGTGAGCTCCATTTCATATTAATCTGTAGAAATTCCACAGTCTAGTTAAAAAATGTAAACATCGAAAATTAATTGCAGGGAGACTTCTATACATTCTTTCTTGTCAAGAAAATTACTTGTTCAAAATATGTCATTCCATGAAAAGTAACTGGAATAAAACTTCATGTAACAGAGACTAAAAAGAGACCGTAGATATTGTTGATCATAACAACCTCGATGGTGTTGTCTACTGATTTATGGCATGAAAACACGCAAAATTAAAAACCCAAAACAGAAAACACCAACTCAACCAGATAAATCTGAGACTGAACAAAAACACAGGTGCTTTCTCATGTGGCTACAAGGTCACTGTGCAAAATAAAATTAACGCGACGTGATTAGGGCATCGTACAAGGTAATAGCGTTTGCCATGGAAGGAACTAATTTCTTATGTACAGGATGTATTGTTACATGCTCAACAAGGTACATCTGAAACACACAAACAGGCACAAAACACCTTCTGTTTAATTGGGCTCGTTCTACACGTCTTTAAAACAGATAAACTGCACTCCTCTGTACTTCCACAGTAGGGGGAAAATCCAAACTACACAATTGAGTTGGTAATACTGGATAAAATGAAAAAGTACATCAAGTCTCAGATTTATGGACATTTGGAACATTTTAATAGCACATGCAGCATTCCTTGATAGTGGGTCTTTTTGCAAAACCAAAATAGCAAAGAAGTAATTTATTTATTTATTTTATTAAAAGGCTAAAATATATATTTAAAAATAATTTTTAAAACTATTGAAAGCACCTGTGCAAAGGTGGGGGGAAGTCAATTTGAGTCACTAGGAAAGCCACAAAAGGACCCACTACCCTGTGTATTTTTGTAATTTTTGCTTCTGTCTCTGCAAGTAATAACTCGACATTGCCATCACATGCGACTAAGGTAAAATGAGGTAAACTGCTCTGCAGTGAGTTCTTCTACTCAGAAGGCAGTAGGTGATCATGCTGGAAGTCACATGATCAAGGCTGCATCTCCCATCATCCCTCTGGGCAGTGATATGGGATAGTGGGTCTCTTTGAGGACTTTCAAGCCTGAGGGGGGGATGGACAACATATGATTCCTAGAAAAAGGAGGAAAACAACACATAAGCAAAACAAAACATGAGCAAAATTCAAGCTAGGAAAATGAGTCGGGCATGTAAACAGCATGGTGCCAAAATGATTCAAAAACAAAAAAAAAAAAGGAAAGGGGGGAGGGGAGGGAGGGGACATGCTACAGAAGGAATGAAAAAAAAAAGGAAAAAAACAAAACAAAACAAAACAACCCCACGAGATAAAGTCTTGCATTACAGAAGGTCTTCAAAGAGACGGGTGCGAATGCAGCAGGTCTAGCTTTAAGTTCTGCAAACAGCTCGGCAGAATCAGAGCAACGCTGCATGTTTCACCGTAAGATACCAGAGAGGAGAGGCGGCAGGGCCCCGGGCACTTACATTGCTGGCTTGGGTCCATGTCTGTGGTCAGCTTCACATAATTGGACGGGAAGAGCCCCACTTGTCCATTGACTTCTCCTTTCCACCAGTCGGGGTCCTCCTTGTTGAGGACGTTGATGATCTGGCCCTTGCTGAAGGCCAGTTCGTCATCGTTCTGGGCGGTGTAATCGTACATCCCGATCACCTGGCACACTGCAGGAGACAGGGCCGGGTGAGCGGCTGCACGTCTGCGCACAGCACGTGGCACAGGCCACGCGGGGGTCATTAGGTATTCTCATGTGTTCTTTCTGTCCTTTCCGAAGAGGGAGGCGCTCTGACGGACTTTGTATAGTGTGGGCGACAGAGGGAGATGAAGGAGCGAAAACCAAGACATCGCGCCTAAGGCTTTAGGTTTTACAACATCTTCCTCTTTTTCCTGTTTACTTGTCAGCAGATAAGTGAATGCTTCCATGGATTCGTTTCTATTGGAGTGCAGTGGAACTCCTTTCAAATGCTGACTCTGAAAGGTGGGCCCAACTGCACAGGACAGCTGTGTATCATGGAGACTTAACTATCGTTCTTTTTTTTTTTTTTTAAGGTGGATGGTAATTATCATTTGACCTCCCCAAATTCCAAATCTTAGTGAAGAGTGTTCACTAAGTGTTTTAAAACCCAAGTGTTTTATTCTGCTGTATCTTTGCATCCCAAAATTCTGTCTCAAAGAAAGAAATGTCCACGTCCCAGAACAAGTTTTCTTTTCTCATTTTCTCTCAAACCTAAAGGAGATTTCATCGTTTTCATCCCCCAGCATTTTTACACTTCGGGTAAGTCTATATAGTTAGGTTGTGTCCCCAATTAATCTTTCTTAACCAATCTATACATAGATTTAGGTTTTTCAAATTCTATAGCTAATTCAATCATGTCAGCAAATTATTTCTGTGGGTTTCAACCAATGTGATGAAGGAGACAGCGCCAGGCCTCCCCAAGGGAGAGGAGAGCCAGCTGGCACCACACCCCTCTGCCTACACGAAGCCACAGCTCAAGCAAAGGGGCCCAGCTGGGGTCGGGAATGAGTCACGAAGTTTGCCAATCCTTTCACTGCTTGCGAAGCTGCCAAGTTTGAGTCTGACTTCACTGGGGATGCACAGCACAGACATTTAACCACAGGTACTGGAACGAAAATTCTGCATTTTCCACAAATGCCACCCAAGAATTGGTGGTTTAAAGTCGTAAAGCAGAATTCTGCTCCCCTAACCTCACCCATCTCAAATACTACTGAAGCATCTAATGTGGTCTCTTCGATCAGAAAACAGCCAAGCAGCTCAGCTGCAATGCCCTCTGTCCCTGCTGGTCCTTCAGAAGAGTGTACGACATCCCGCCCACGAAGCGAAGCCCCTCTGCTCACAGGAAGTGTCGCAGGGGAGCTATTTCAGTGTTCAGTGAGCAGCGCGCCACAACCGACAGACCCCCGTGGCCTCCAGCTCGATCTCCTGACCTATTGAGACCCCAGCCATTTATTTTTAGAAGCCCCGTTTTGTCCCCTCACCCTCTAGCCCAAATCCCAATTTAAACAGCTGGAAGGAAATCAAGAGAAAAAGCTGGCTTTAATGCCACAGCATTCACAACTCCCGAAGGAGAGCTCCAACAAGGGCTCTGTTGTACCCAGCACAGCGAAGCTGCTTAGATATGTGGTCCTTTTGAAAAACATATTCCATATCACATTAGCTGGGTGTCAGTCCCCGCAAGGACGAGAAGCCCTTCGAGCAGATGTGAAAAACAATCTAAGCTACTTCATGAGAAAAACTCAGTGGAAAGAATTCACACGACACGAGACCATCTTCCAAGGAGAGACGGCAAAGTTGCTTACCTGCTGGGAGTGCCGTGGGCTTCGGTGGCTCTGTTGGAGTGATTTTGCTTGTCCCGGGGCTTAAAAGTTTTACATAATTAGCAGGGAACCAGCCTATCTGGCGCTTTTTCCCACGTGCCTAATAAAAAAAATAATTTTATTAAAAATGTTAAAAGGTTCATATTCTTTCATGCAAGTTTTCTCTGTAACAGAGCACTTACACAAGGTTTACATATAACTGAAAACCAAACGGCAGTCACCATAGAATCTATGGGTTACTATATTACAAAATGAAAACACCACGGCTAAAATTTAAACTGTGGTAGTCATCAGTCAGCAAAGCCTGAAATGTTTCTGCACGAGCTGGATGGTACGAATCACAATTCAGAGTAGAAATCAGTGCATAAAGGATAAAAAACTGCTCATGTAACGCCAGCTCTCAGCTGTTCATTTTAGGTAATGCACGATTACACCTTATGTCAACATTGTATGTGGATTTTAGGAATAATTATAATAGCAGTCGGCACTCGCTGGGTGCTTTTTATGAGCCAGGCCTGTGCTTAGCATCCTAAATGCATTTAGCTGCATAATTCCCAAAGGATAATATGATCACTACTGCCATTTCCCACGTAAAGTGAGGCTCAGAACAGTTAAGTGATAGTCCCAAGGACACAAGCCCGTTAGTAGCAAGCCGAGACTCACACTTGCGTCTGTGCTCTTCTTATGGATGACAGACAACCGTAGTACAAGATGCACCCATGCAATACCCATAGGACACAAGGAGTCTAAACTTGACATTGTTTTCAAAGACCGTGAGGCCTCCATGCCTCGCTACGGCCACATTTTCCACTTCCATGCCTCTCTCCTTCACTCTGATCTAATTCGACACGTGATCCATTTATTGAGTGTTAACATGCCAGGTGTTGTTGGAAAGGGACAGTGTATGACACAGGGGAACTGACACACACCATCTCCAGAAGCGAGGCTCTGAGTTAAAAAAAAAACAGCTGCCTTTAGGGACCCGGGTGGGAGACGTACGTTTGAATCCCCTTCTGTAACTTTTGCATTTTAAACCAGGTGAACATATTACTTACGTCAAAAGTAAGAAAATAAAGTCAAAGGGAAAGGAGACTCCCGCCCCCTCCCGCCTGCCACTTCATCGAGGGCACTTCTGGGTCACTTTCGGAACGCGGATCACATTTCACTTGCCCTGCGGTCTCACAGCTTTCATGCCCTTGGCTCAGGGACGAAAACATCCATTTTCACAGTGACTCCGCCGATGATGGAAGCCGCTCGTTTACAAGCTCCCACATGTGTGCCAGTCTCGTACACTGCCACGTGGCTCACGACCCACCATCTTCCCCACCCCTGCAGTCTCACGAGGGCAGAACTCGGAGCTCACTGACGACTCACCCACCCTATTGTGGAGTCCAACACCCCTTCGAAACTCTCCTTTGAAGAAGGTACTAGGAGTATGAGGACAAAAAATGTGGCTGCTGCCTAAGAGGAGCTGATAATCCACATGCAGAAATAACAAACACACATGGAACACTAAGTAATATTACATCAGCATCAGCATTAAATACCCAGAGTGGTACAGGCATCAGAGCCACTACAGTTCAGGGGAAGGATGTCATTTCCGGTGGGGTGGTCACAGAAAGCTCCCGTTAGAAGTGGGACTTGGCCAGCTCTTGAGGAATGGGGGAGAGGTGGGAGAGAAACACTTGGGGAGAAACGTCGTGAGCAAAGGCAGTGAGGCATGAGAGACTGAGGGAGTTGCTTGTTTTCAAGAGAGCAAATCACCAAGTGAGGCTGGAGGGGCGATGTCGCTGACAGGTGAAAAAACCGGCAAGATGCATGGCTGACAAGGGAAGGAGGCACCTGTGGAAAGCCTCACGGCAGGTTGAGGAGGGGCCGTGGGAGTCACTCAAGGCTTCAGAACAGCAAAGTGACATATGGATGGGAAGGCCATTTACATAATGACAGCATGACTCTGCAGGGAGTGTGACCTGCAGGTGTGAGCAAGGCCTCTCCCTACCCAGCAAGGGAGCAGACATCTTAAAAGAGGAGTGGACCGCAGGATTCCAAGGTCAGATCCCTGAGCCGACAGGCTGCGTCTGGTCAGAGAGGGATTTCATGGCCACCCACCAGCGAGCCCCCCAGGGCAAGTTTCACCCCTGGCTTCACTCCAGGCTGTGCCTTCCATTCGGCCCAGACACGATTCTTTAGCCCACTGGCTCACTCTTCACTCTCTGGCACGTTATTTTTTAATTAGCTGCCCCATATGCACAGAAAAGTATTGTATTTCTTCAGCTCGCCACAATATAGGCCGTTCCTCTCCTTGACCAAGGTTTGCATGATAAAACGGTGAACTGCGGACACTCACACATGCACATGCGCACACACACACGGGAACTGAAAATGTTGAGCGGTACAGACGTGGCTTTGAACACACGGAAACCTGTTACTACACCACACTTTATAACACCACTGATGGAAAGCTCTGCCTCCAAAATGCCAGGACACTTAGGATGACTGCGCAGGTGTCCTCGTCATGGACTCTCTCTATCCCAACATTCTCTATCTGACTCGGGAACCAACAGATTTGGATAAATCTTCAAAAGAATCCTTAGCTCTCATAATTCTGCTACTGGCTGTCCGAAGCTGAGCAACCAAATAGAATCAGGCAATATGGTGTCTGCCTTTCGCTATCCAAATGCAGGATTACTTTGCAATAAAGAAGCGTCCCTTTGAGGTTTTGCATATTCATATTTGGACAGAGAATTTCAAACAAACAGAGAAGACACTAACTTGCAGCTCTCCTTCCCACCATCCACCTGGGTTCTTTTTTCGGATCAAGATCAGCTGACCAGGGGCCAGGGTGAGCTGCTCAGGACCGGTAGCAGTGTAGGAAGCAATAACCTGGGCGATTTCTGAAAAACAAAATCAAACATCGGGGTGCACTGTTACAGTCAGGAGAAGGAAACTCTATGAAGAGACAGCCACCTCCCAGGTCACAGATTAACACCAGCAGAGCCAACCTACTGGGCTTGTTTCCTACTAAATGAAGAAGATCCACTCAATGGAACCCCCCGCCCTCAAAATTTCACGACCTCCATCGCAAATGCAGCATTCAAGGTCTTGGTCGATCTTCTGGTTCTGCCCAGCCTGCTCTAGGACCCGCTTCTCAGCTCTCATCGACTCATCAACTTCCCTCCATGAACTCTCCTTCCTTCCCCCAATTCCTGCACCTTCTGGCCCAGCCCCTCCCACAATTCCCATGAGCACCCTGATGCCAACACCTGGGCCTCCTTCCCCGCCACCCGCCCTCTGCCCCCACACAGCGCTCAGCACACAGCACACTCAAGGATGGTTAAGTGAATAAAAAAACGCAGGTGGACTTTTCCATCTGCCAAGTACAGGAGAAAGAGAAATTCTGTCTTCTCAGAAACGGTTGGGAGCGCAGCACTAGCAGATGTATGTGCGGCTTTAGACTCCCGCTCCCACCTGTGAGACCAGTTTCTTTGCAGCTCACAGTCTGAAGGTGACCCCTAAACATCGGGGAGGAACCGTGTCAAGTTTACTTCTTTTTACTTTGAATTAAAGGAGGAACCTGGAGTTAAGATGGGAATTTTATGCGAGAACAATTTAGCACGGAAAAAATGTGAATAGTCCTGTACTTTTCTTGAATGTGAAAAATCTCATGAGAAAAATTCCAGCAGTACCACAGACCAGGCTCTGGAAAGTACATTTCTCCTGGCACAGGAGGTCGCGTCTGAAAAGACAAAACCCTTCTCTGATAAATTCTGGCATGTCTGCAGCAACCGCTTTCTGAATTTCTAAAGGCAATACAGAACAAACTGTTCTATTCCTCTACACTCTTCCTATCATAACTGTTCTTGAAAGAAAGGATGGAAGAAAGGAGGAACGAAATCGTGAAAGACAGAAAGGAAAGGGGTAAAAAGGCCCCATCCGCTGACGGTATTTCCTGCTTCTCTCTAGAGGGCCATAAGCGATATCATTCCCCTGTCTGCGGTCAGCACTGGCCACCTTGCTGGGAGCACCAGGCTGTCACAGTGCCGGCCTGGTCCTGCCAGGTGCTTCACAGAGCCCAGGGGAAGCCAGAAAGCGCCCAGTGACACATATGCCTTGGCCCTGCTGACCGCCCCAGCTGGGGAGTCTGTGCCGGGGCAAGAATTCTCCCCCAACACGCCAGGGCCTGGCTCTGGATTCCAAGGGTTTTTGGTCAGTAGAGAGTCCAGATCAGTGACCTATTTGGCCGCAGACACTGCTGCTCCTCAAAGGACCTGGCATGAGTAGCCAGCGATCTGCCCCAACATTCTTCTCTGCCTTTTGTGTCCCTGAGCAGCTCTCTGGTTTCGGTGTAAAATTAAGCCCATCTGGACCCTATGGAATGACAATTCGAAATGCAGATCTCTCACAGTTAAAACAGAGATTGAACCCACGTGATCCGACATCTGAGCATGACTAAAACCCTACGACAACCTGAAAACTCACTTTTCCTTGCCAGGTAAGCCCATTTGGAGCTCAGCACCACACGAAGATACACGGATCCCTCTCCTGGCATAGCAGTGCCTCTTTCGACCTATAATTTCCTCAGGCTATAATAGCAAAAAAGCTCAAATGACCTAGATGAGGAAGACGTGCCATACAAACCATACGATTTCACAACTGCTGCTTCTCTCTTTCATGCTTCTATTTATAGAACATGTGATTTTGTTTAAATTATCGAACACGCTTTGAATTCAGGGAGATGATTATAATTTTGTACCTTCGATGGGTACCTGAGGAAGATGCCCCAACGGCTTCTAAATGAATGGGACCTACACTCTGACAGTGCTTGTTGCTTCTCCGATCTCCACTGTTTATGGCCGAGGACTGAACGTGCCCTCGAGAAAGGAAAAGGGGCTTCCTGAACCTAATGTAAGGATGAAAAAGCAGCAGCTGACCCCAAATCTTACAGCGTCACGTACTACAACTTCCCACCATCTTGCCTGAATTACTCCTTCATGACCCAAGAGAACGGTGTGTTAATATCCCCAGTCCCCACGTGTGAAGCAACGGCCATATTTTATAACCATGTACACATCATTAATGGATTCTCGGGAAAGAATCTACTTCATCCATTCTGAGGGAAGATTCTTTTGTCTTTCTTTTTTTTTTTTTTTTTAGGCTTCTGGCCCTAATAAACAAATATTGGGAGCAACTATCAATTACATTCAAAACATTGAAAAATAAGCATCAGGGTTTGTAACTTACCAGGTTTTTTTCCTAAACTCCCTGTTTTCCCAGCAGTTCCAGAGCCCTTAAAACAGAGCAAAAGGTCTCATTTGCATACTGAAGAGTTTTGGTCATGCAACTTAAAAAACGATTAATGATGACACACACCCGCCAGAGCCCCTGAATCCCTCTCTTCATTCTGGGGAAACACAGTAGCCCTGTAGCTCCTGTGTAAGGATGTGTATCAGGAAAACACGGGACAAAATAAGTACTTTAAAACATGCAGCTTTCACTCTCTTCTCTAGAGAAAAATTAGCAAACGTAGGTGGCACTACAGGATCCCAGAGGGCTCAGGCATTGACTGTGTATAGCTCGGGCATATGCTGTCCCTGGGTCAAATCAAACAGGAGGCACGATGCTAGGAAGACGATTAGCCTATGTCCTAAACACTAAGCCCTTGCTTTCTGTCCAAATGGTTAATTAAATATTTCACATATAAAAAGTACAGACATTCATGAGCCCAATACCCCGATTTAATACAAGAAAATATTAATATTTGCTACATTTGCTTTAGAGCTTTCTTTAAAAAAAAAACAAAACAAAAAACAAAAAAACAAAAAAACAAAAAAACAGTACAGTGGCAATTCAAACACCCTCTTCGTCCATTCGCTTCTTTATCCAAAGAGGCAGCCATCCTCCTGGTACCCTTTCCACACAAATCTTACACTGTTTAAACGCTGAATGTTTCTACCAATGCTGGATGCACAATCCATAAAAGCAGAACATACTTTTTTCAACTTTTAAGTGTTCCAAAAGTGCTCTGGGTCGAATTCCTTCATGGATGCTCATGGAATTTTAAACCAGCTGAGTAAGCCAACACAGACCTCGAGTTAGGACAGAGGCCAGCTGTAATCTGTCATTACGAAGTGCTTTATTCTGAATTAATTTCATCCTTCGGTCCCTATCTTGCCATAAATTAAGTATTCCAATCATAACAAAACTAACTGAGACTTACTGTAAGAATAAAAATATGTAATTCATCTACCAGGCACACAACTTATCATAGTCCTTTTGTTTTGATTCTTGAAATTTAATAACTATTTACTAGGGTAAGTTTGAGTTAAAAATTTTTTACTCTGATTATGCTTTCTGTATTAATAAACAAAGTTAGACAATACTAATCTCCTTTGCTATTTCTATAGGCTGTGCATCAAAATAAAGGAATATTGATGACACGAGATTCCAAATGACCAGTTACTTTCCCAGTACATTCTTCTAATATACTCCCTATATTCCATAAAAGAACAAAGCGATTGGCAATCCCCAGTGGTGGAGGTCAAGCAGCTTCAACGGTCTCTCTGTTAAATATCACAGCCAGCACAGCAGCGAAGACACGGCCAGAAGGCCAGGTCCTGTCCTGGCTCTCCTCGAGCATGCAGAGGACAAGCTGCCCAGGCCGGGAGCCCTCGCCTTTCTCAGACAGATGGGAAGCCAGGCCAGCCCAACCCCTCCTGTGCCTGGGGCGGTGCTGGCATCGGGGGCTGGTCTGGTTTTTACCTTTGTCAGGATACTTCCCTTCTACACTGAACTCTGTGTCTAAGTAGGATGAAAGAGCTGACTTTTAAGATTTTTTTCATTATTATGAAATAATGCAGCTAAATGTCTCAAATCTTTAGCATTGCTTATTCTTCTGTGGCTAATAATTTAAGACTGTGGTTGAGAAAGCACCTTACTTTTAAAAAAAAGTCAGTGTGTTTTTTAAAACTTATTGACCAGATTTTTTTTAAAACAGAAAACTACATATCATTTATTAAAATATAAGTAATGGCTTTCGTGTTTGAACTGATCCTAAAGGTGAAGTCACTTTAAGGGGTTTCATGTGTGGTAGGAGAAATCAAGCTTAGTGTTTCGTGTTTCCCCATCCCCTGAAATGTCATCTGCATGATTCTTATTGGCTCCAACTGGCTGGCCTGGAGAAGAGTTTCACTCCCTCTCCACAGATCTGCAGAGGACAGACAGTTCGCCAGCTGTCTTACAGGGAGAGGTATTTTCTTTCCTGCTTCTGCCAGATTCTCCAAGGGTAAGCAACTTCTGCAAATCCCTCCAGGGAATTTCGGCAAGCTGTTCTTAAGACCATAGCAAAGGAAAAACAAAACAAAACAATAAAGGCACTCCCTAAAAAAACAAACGCATGAAAAATGAAACTATTCCGGGGAACTGCAGGGAAGGTGAGAGGCCGGTGGTAGCACTATGTGCACGTCACCAGGTCCCAAAGCAGCCACGGGCCAGTGGAGGAGCGCTAGGTGCACCCTCCTGCTGGCATTCACGTGAGACAGAGGCTGTGTGTGCCCCTTCACCTATGGCTAAGGAGATGGTCTAGGGGCTCTCCTCTTCTCTGTGCCTAGGAGGTATGAGGAGAAAGAAAAAGTGACTGAGAACTGACTGCCTGTGCTTAAAAAATAAAAAGAGCTAATTCTTGTTGGTTTATTTATACGCAGTGGATCTGTTCAACGACTACATTTACACCCTGAAATTCTCCACGAATTTGAAATTGGCCACGACCAAATAGATGGGCTCCCGTACTCAGCAGGCCCACCCCACCGGTCCATTAAACCTGCACTATCTCAAGGCCACCTTTTATACAACTGAATTTTTAGAGCCCTATTTAACAGCAAGGGGAGCCGATTCCCATTTATAGGGATAACAGCATTTAAAATAAATCCAGACCCTTATCTACAGAGATACTAAGGCCTAGCCACAAGTGTACCAATCTCTTAGATCTTGTGTCTTCCTACTGCGTAGGGAAAAATATGAATTTCTAAAACTCTCTACTGCCCAATATTCTGGGGCCAGTGTCACCCAAACGCTTGTTTACGTGGGCAAAATCCCGCTGTGTATCTTCCTTGGGGCACCCGAGTTCAGTGAGTGACCGCGAAGACCTGATCAACGTTTACTCCAACCCCTAAGTCAGTTACATGCAGGAATCGGGACGAACGCTCAACGCTGTCCCGGCCGACGACGCAGCGCTGCCTCCGCTTAGCCCCAGGAGTTCTTCTGCTGGTGGGAAGCCAAGGCTTACCCTGCAGCACCAAGTGACAAGTTCAGACAATTACAGGTCACACTGTATTGGCTGTCACATTCCAGAACTTAGCAAAACCCAACAAAGTGTTCCACCTTCGAACGTGGTGACTCCCTGCGAAGAGAATCACTGCACAGAAAGGGAGAGGAAACAGTTAATGCGGGGTTTACCTCTGAATCTTTAAGCCTCACATAGTTAGAAGGGAAGACTCCGGACTTGTCGCCCACTGTTCCTGTCCACCAGTCACCATCTTTCTTGGTAACCAAAATCACATCCCCTTGCTGAAAGGTTAAATCGCCTTGCTCAGAACTCTCGTAAGTGTACATGGCAATAAATTCTGGTGGGGAGAAATAGTGAGATACGGAGAGAGCTTGATCGTTTACAGAAATCCCAGGCAGCTTTGTAAAAAAGTAAGTTTATGAATAAGGAAGTTAGAATAAGATCCATTCAAGAGAAAGGCTAGTCACAGATAAACACTGAGTGGCGGAATACCCTGGGCTCCAAATTCCCCAACTGCACGTAATAATCCAGTAACTGCAGACAGGGAGACAATCCCCACGAAGGATGACCCAGCCACAGGGAGAAAACCCAACCGCATGTCTATCATCGCTGAGTACCAAGAGCGATCTACAGTTTAACGTCATTTCTTTTTCAAATGAAAATGGTTTTTATGTTTACTTTTAACTAACATTTACCACGTACCCATGTCGTGCTGAGCACTGGGTTAGGTACAGTGACGTGAAGGCTCCTGGAATGCACATCAAATATCTGTACTTCAGTTCTGAGGGTATCAAGTCACGATTCTAGAAAATTTTCAGATATGGTTTTCCCTTTACGTAAATTAAGACGTATTTTTCATTATTCAAGTGCCTGAGTGAAAACTTATGTCCTAGTGTGCCATATACACAGATGGTAGGAAGCTGTTAGAACTTAAAACAAAAAATGTACATTATTTAGTTTAAAATGGGCATCTACTTGTGATTCGAGGGCATAAACAGGTAGAGTGGGCTGATGATAAAAGCAGTGTATAGCCAATCCCAGAAAACAATCAAGTCTTTCTGAACAAGTTGAAAAGATAAACCATAGTTTCTTCCATTTTATTATTCATGTAATTTAGTCTTAAGAATAAGAACTAATGTTCTTTACTGTCTTGAATGTGAAGGGTGTGCATTCCAGAGGAAATTCTCCTTTTTTAATTATAAACAGCTGATTTTACTAAAGCTCAGAAACCAAGTCACGCTCTCAGAAAGATGACTAGACACAGAATCCTAGACACTACACTAGGTACAGGAGAAAAAGTTTACAGAAGAATGAACAAAAGTTTCTTTTTCCACTTTTTCTCCATTGTATCCCAGGCCTTTGGACCTATTTTTAAAAAGCAATTTAAAAAAATCACCATTAAGCTAAGAGTTCGTTTTTATGATGCATGCTGTAAGCCTCCCACTAAAACTTCAGATGACAGTCCTTAAATGTAGAGCCTAATGTTAATTAATAGGCAGAAATTTAGTCCGAAGGACTCCTTTGGCTAATTGTAAGAGCCTCTGCAGGAGGCCCTAATGAAAGCTAAAACAAACACAAAAAAAACACAACCCCCTATTGCTTGCGCTAATGCGGGCGCTCTACCATGTGGGAGAGAGGCTGCCTCGCCTTCAGCAGAGCTGACCCGTGGGTGGGGGCCAGCAGCGACTGCTGGTGAGTGCTGGACCCACGGCAGACACAAGGTCACCCTAATGTGCCAGGGAGAACAGAAGACTCTCTGTCTTCAGCCCTGCAGTGCTGGTAACACACACCTCCACAGTTAAAACTGGAAAAAATGATTTCCCACACGAGGAAATCGAAGTTTGGCCGCTTTAATAAGGACATTCTTTCTCCGTTAATATATTCCTTTTCCTGACTCCTCAATTCTGACCCTTCCCCTTTCATTTTGCTCCTTTACCTGCTCCTTAGTTCATGGACCGCCACTTAAGACAGGCTCCTTGGCAATCAATATTTTTCCCACTTAAAAGTATTGCACTTAAAAGTCACTTTCTCAAAAATGGATCCAAATTTTGAAGTAATTTTCAAAACGCTTAAGAAATTTCAGAAGCATGAACTCCGGCTGAACTTAATACTGCAGTATAAGATACCAAGGAGACCGAGAAGACTGTAGCTTTACTTGTCCTGCCCTGCACACAGGAATCTGTGGAGCTGCTTAGGGTTTCAGTGAAAACCTTAGGGTTTCAGTGAAAACTGGGAGACATGAGGATGGATACACAGGGGCACCTCACTGCTCAGACCCTCCTCATGAGACATTTAACACAGGGCACCAGCCTTTCCCAAGCCCATCATTTAAGAGCTACCCAAACGGACAATTTACTTAATCTGGTTTACAGTTTAAATTTGACTATGTTTCATGTAGTATTATTAAGTGGCTCGTTAACATATGTAAATATCTTTCTCAGAATTTCAGATGCCAATGGCTTCCCGCAACCATCTAGAATGCCAGCTATTTCCTACTATTTCTAATATCTAAATCATTTCAAAATGGATGTAATACAGGTCGACTAAGATTAGAATCTAATTCTCTTCTGTTGCCCAACTTTAAGATGCGTGTGGTTCATCCATGACCAATATTTATTGAGGCCTCAAGTGTCGAGGCCTCTGTCTATGTTTCAGAACAAAACCGACAACTCTGCTGGCAAATGAGAAGCTCCCTGCTTTACGTGGCTCTGTGGACAACCCACAAAACGAAGCAAAGAGGAAGTAAAAGTAGCAGACGTTTACTGACCTTCCCACTAAAAACTGGACACGTATTAACTCATATCCCTTGTAATAATATCTTAACTCAAAGTGTGGTCATTATGCCCACTTTACAGATGAGGAAGTTAAGGCGTGACCAAAATGATAAGGTTACCAGGTGAGGGAGCTATCTCAGTGATACCTGATTAGATACAACACGCTGAATTTGGGGGTGGGGGTACTGACTGCATGTGCTGTGTTTAAAAGAACTTTTTGCCTTGCTCTAACAGTAGATTAAAAAAATCACTAAGAATATATAAGGAGAACTATGCTAATGATTGTTTGATGGTGACACCAAAAGCTGGATGCAACGAAATGCTGGACTTGTGCAGTGATGATGAGATTTTATAGCTATCCCTATAAACTAAAAAAAATCCCTTTTTTACTTGTCAAATTCTTGAAAAAGTAGAGTGTGAAATACCATTAAACCTTAATCCTTGCTGTCGCCATGAAAACAATTGTTTTAATAATTCTATTTTTCACAAAGCGAGGTTTCTAAGGAATGCAGCAATCTCATAATGGCAAACTAAATAAAACATTCTATGCTCATGTAATTTATTCAAGGAACCCATGAAAAGTTACTATACAATTGAGTAGACATCCGTTAGCTATACTGCTCAGACTTCTATATCAAAGCCTGCCTAAATCAGGTACACTCTTCGATCAGTACTATGAGAATGGCTCTATTGAATGTAGAAAAAACATGAGATTTTTTACCATTACAGCCTGAATCATGTAGGTTTTGTTCATTTTTAAACCCATACTATGCTGGCACATACAATCCTTAGGATTATGTCACAAAACAAAGACCGGGAAACAAAGCAATTAATTGTTTGTGTAAAAAACACTCAAGATGAATTTTTTAGGCCTAAATAATCTGGTGTGGTTATTTACATGGAACATAGAAACTGAACTTCTGTTTCATTTGGGGCGGTACAGATGGCACTGATGTCACTGTGACGACTTTACCGAACTGTGTAGTTGTGGTTTTAAAACAAAATACTTACCTATAAGTCAAAAAATAGCAATGACCACAATTTAGCTATAGAGATGCTCAGGACACTTGATCCTCAGTGACTATATGGGCCTCTTTCGAAAGTAAAAGGGCTCATAATCAAATATAACCAGAACATTCAGTTTTTATAATCAATATATCTGATAGTATTTTGAAAGTCTCCATAAAATATTTTGATTTTGTAAAGAGCTAAACTTCATTTTACCTTAGAGTTTAATGTACTGAACATAAATTAATGCAGTCTATTTTAAAATGAAATCCAATCTCGTTTCAAACATTTGCCGTTTGCATTACATAATTTCATCAACCCATCTAAAGACATAGTTTAACTCAACTTCTCACCTTCTCCCGAAACGGCTGGCTTGGCTGCTGGGGAAGCCACTCTCTTTAGACTAGCGGCAGGACTTTCCGAAGAGCCAGAATCCATGCTGAAAGGGGGGTGGGGGAGCAGTATTTTAGTTTCTGTCTTCAAAGAAAATAGTACGAGTGACATTAAAAAAAAAAAACTATTTCACATTTAAAACTTTGAAAATTCTACAGCTGAAACAGACACACATAGTTAAAACACATGATGAGGTCGTACAGAGGCATGGTGCTGGGTAGACAGCCAACGTGTCGGTCCCTCTCAAAGCATGACTGACAGATGCTCGGCCAATATTTCTGCTATTTTTATCTTCTTACAGCGCATAATTTGTTTTAAACATCTATATGGTCGGAATAATCAGACGACGACCCTGTTAAGGTTCCAGGCCACAAGGTTCCTAATGAAAAAGATAATTCATCCTTCCAGTTACTTCCCCAACGTTGGGCCTCTGCGTATTCGTGTATATCTGGCACAGTATTGGGTACTAAGCTTATGGATAAGGCATCACACCTCCGACAAATCCACAAGAATGTTTCAGGTCTCAGAGTAGAATTCCCTTTTGCAGAAGTTAATAAAAAACAAGATATACAGGCTTCCTCAAGGGAAGGGAAACAATGACCATTTATCTGTAAGAGGCTCCTTTCTGGTTGACACACACTCTAACTTTTGCAGTTCAAAAGATCCAGAAGTCAAAAGAATCCTGCCAACTCCTATCCAGATCTGAACTGGTGCAAACAATAATTTAACGCATAAATTGTTTTCATCTAACAGAAGCAGAAAAACACAAAAATACCTTGTAGATTTCCTTACGGGCCCTGAAATGAGTTTCACGTAGGACTTGGGGAACCAGCCCTTCTGACCTTGAACTTCTCCAAACCACCACATGTCTTGCTGTTCCAGGACGGTGATGACATCGTTTTTGTTAAAATTTAAATGGTTGTCTTTCTTGGCTCTCCAAGGGTACAGGGCCTGCGCCTGTAGCCCCTCCACCTTTTCACCCTTGTGGGGAATAACATAAAGGATCTCTCATTACTTGGTGATTTGTTTTCAACTCGGGCGACAGGAACACTGGCACCCCCTCTCCAGTAAGCACACAGAGCACGCACAGCACAGACAGCCCTGCCTCAGCGCAGCATGGGCTATAGATGCTTCCTTGTCTCTCGGTAATTGTTTATTTTCAAAAGTGGACGTGAAAACCTGCCAGCCTATTCACCAAGCCATTGTCTGACCCTCCAGAGCTATCTATTTGAACAAGCCAGGGGGTCATATTTATTCTGTTGCACCTGGCTGTGGCCTTTCATATTCTGGTTCTATTTAACTCTCAAGTTGCCCAGGGCACCCCCGCCCCCCATTTCCAACCTGATGTGGATGTTGAGTTCAAGATTAATAGTGGAGCATAAATCTTACGACGTCTGAAAGGGTAATAAAGTGATATTTTAGTTTAGGTGGACGTGGAAATGTGCGCTGCATTGGACTGTGCTTGTCTAAGTCCGTTTTTAGAACAGAGGTTTGGTTAGCGTAAACTCACTGTCATCACCGTTTATTGGGCGTCTATATGCGAGACATTATGGGGTTACAAAGAGGAATAAAATGCCATCTCTGCCGCACCCCAATAATTTAGGTTTAAACACTTTATTAATTGTAAAGCACTATAAAAACGGACAGTATGATATTATTAGCAAAGAACTCACGATTAACAGAGAAGAAAAAGATACAAACTATGACTACCACCTGCCAGAATAAATATGTTAAAAAGAGGTCCCATCTATTCACTGTGGGAACAGAGAGAACAGCGGGATTAATTCTGCCTGAGGGCAGCAGAGAAAGTTTCACAGAGGAGGCAGCAATGGAGCCGGAGGAGGGTTCTGACAGCTAGGGCTCTGAGGGGAGGACACTCCAGGCGGAGGACACAGCATGGACAAGGGCCCTGAGGCGGTACACCGCAAAGGGTCCAGGAAGAGGAGCACAATCCAGGGGTACACGCAGCCTAGTTTCACGAATGGATGGAGCAGAAGAGGCTGGAAAGGCAGAGTGGGGGCATTTATTCTCTTTTTAAAAATTATAACACAAAACCCTATAACATAAAACCATTCTAATATCTTAAAGCATACCTAACAAATACAGCCATGTCAAATTTCAATCATATACCATGTAAATGGACAAGAACAAAGGATTATGCCCCAAGACAGTTCATTCAGAACCAACGTGCACCTATGCTCAGGGGGCATTTTCACGCCAACGTTGGACGATGCCCCCGTCTGCCCCGTGCAGGGCTATGACAGTGCGAACGGTTTCAGTGCCCGTGTTGAGAACTCCTGCATCCTGGTCCTCCTCGCGGCTTCTCACCTTCTTAAACCTACAGCATCTTTTCTTCCTTCCATTTCGACTGTGCACCCCTCCGAATCCTCAGAACTGAAGTGTCTCTGAATTTCAAACACTCCCCAGGACCATTTATTCCTTACCCGCCATTTCCCTCGCTCGCGCTCACAGCTCTTCTGGGCTTTCTAATCCTCTCGGCCACTTCCATTTATTTCTCTCCGAGAATGGACCCCAGGGTCAGCCATTTCAACTGTGCCCTCGGTGGTCCTTCAGATCCTCTCACCCTGAGAAACCATCCCTGTGGGGTCAGACAGAACATGGACTCTGGGTTTAATCCTCAAATCTGTCACTAATTTTATGACCTTGGGCAATTATTTAATCACTTGAGGCTTCAGTTTCCACATCTATAAAACAGATACTTTCTTTAAAAGGTTGTCAAGAAAGTCTGATACGATCTATCCGTAGTGTTGCTACGACAGTGATAAAAGCACGACAGCAGTGACAGCTTTTACGATGATTATTTCTAGGCCCAAACTATGAAGGGCTGCTAGAGGAAGCAGACACGGTGTGCAATGACCAGTCTAATCCGGGTGAAATTCAGCCTAGCGAGTCTTCATTCGTTGCCGAATTCGTCTTGCGCACTCTGCCAGTAGCACAACCTGCACTTCATCCTCTCCTGTATCTTTCTCCAACCTCTTCACCCTTCCTCTCTCAGAAGAAAAGGGACCCTGTCACTTTTCCTGTTGTTTCTGCCTTACGCCAGAGAATCCGATTCTCTAGTGCCTGACTTTTCAGGCCCCTTCTTCTCCACTGGCAACGAGGCTGGTCCGTGCCTTTGCCAACGCCCTCCCTTCGCCCTGCTCCTTCCCCTTCATGACTCTGAACACCCCCTCCCCGATCGTTTCTTCTTTATGCCTCCGCAATCTGGTTGATCCCACCCTATCCCAGGTCACAAATACATTCCGCTTGCTATACTAAATGGTCTCTTCTTTGGGCTGACCAGGACCTTTAATAACATGAGCATCGCCGCCACCCCTTTCTGGAAGCAGCCCCCTTCTCCTCCACCACTGAGTCACCGTGTGGAGCACGAGACACGTGCTAACCGCAGAACGGGGACAGAAACGAAGGAAAGGAACACCTGCTAGGAGCTCACAGAACGCACACGCTCTGTGTATTTTCCACGTTCTCCCGACATCTTCTCTCCTTTGAGGATCTCACGTCCTTAGACCTGATCTGTGTTCCAGACCGGACTACCTGGATGTCCCGTTTTCACCTTGAACTTAACACGTCTAAAACCCAGCTCCTCCAACTAAAAACCAATTTCTTTTTCTGCCTTCCTTGTTTCTCTCAAAGGACAAATCTTTTTCTCAGTCCCGAACATCTTCCCTTTCCCTTCTGCCTGACGGGTTTTGTGACCCCATCCTCTTTAGTTGGTGTCCTGTCTCGATGTCCTCCGTCGACCCTTCCGGCGCACCACCTACCTCTACACGAATCTACCCAGAGCCCATGTTTGATAGGTCGTTCCCAGATCATAAACTGTCCCTGACCCCCAAGCCTGCCAGATGGACATTTATTCTTATTCAGTTTGATCATTTATAGAAATTTCATTCCTTTTGTCTTTATTAAGTAAAAATAGAAATATTCAGAAATGCCACCTTTATCCCTTCGTAAGTTACTTTCTCTTTGTAGGACATTTAAGAGGTTCCCATTAACCTGCCATCAGTCTTCGTTTTTCCAATAAATACTCAACGGTCTGGCCAAATGGACCGACCCAAGATTTTCCCCGAACACACTCTGGTTTCCCACCTGAAAGCCGCTCCTCAGTCTTTTCTGTCTGACATGCCAGCCCTCTCCATGTCTTATTAAGATCTTACCCACGGCTTAAGATGCAGTGCAGATGCCACTTCCCCAAGAAGCTTCCCCCATCAGTCCAGGCAGAAGTTTACCCTCCTTCACTAATCACAACTCATTCCAGGCTCCTTAAAGGCTACTGGGAAAACGTATCCCACGCTGCCAGCTGACCCAGATACATATAATGAGGCTCCTTCTAAATGACACAGTTGACAAGCATTTGCTGAATTTGTTGGTACCTTATAGCATGCTAGGTCTTCACGCTCCCAATGACTGCATTTACCTGGCCTAAAACAGGAGATGGAGAGGAGCCGGTGGCCGTGGCTGGAGTAAAAGCCGATCTCTGCCTTAACTGGCCGGCACTAGGAACGGTGAGAGAGGGCTGGGCTGCCCATGCGTCCCAGTTATCTGTTTCTGGCTTCTCATTTGTGCTGGTGGGCCACCTGGAAGGAAAAGCAAGCCCCATAAGGAACAAGCACTTCCTAACGCACCAGCTTTTCACCCACAGTAAATACAAACCCAGTACACGTTGACTGGGCTTTCTGAAGTTCAAGAACAAGAACAGGAGGCAAGAGCATTGCACTTGGGTTTGAGTCTGAGCTTCGCACACTCGCAACGAGCCTCAGGCAGGTTATAATAGCTTCTCTGAATCCTGACTTCCTTATTGATAAAATGGGAATGATATACTGCCAGTTTGGTTTGGTCCCATGAAATTCTGGAGAGGGAAATACTTTGTAATTCTAAAGCATCAGAGAAACATCCTCACCTGATCAGTACCGTCATCGGTAATAACAGCTAAATCAGCAAAAGAAGAATTTATACACCAGATAGGAAAACACTCCAGCTTTGTAGCTGGTGCTTCCTAACACCCCTTCTCTGTCCCCCCCAGGGTACTGCAAGCACCTGGCCACAGGCCTACACACCACGGGAAGGAAGTACAAGTGGCATCCTTAGAGCAACCAGTTGTCCTGGATCCTCTGGGACAGTTTCAATTTTGTAATTTTATAACTGTAAATAAGCGCATCTGTGTGGGTGCAGAATGAAACACAATTTACTTTTTACGTCGTTGTAAGACATAAACAAATTTGGAAATCACAAAATTCCTTTGTTAGACTGTACATCCTGATTTGGGGTTTGGAAAATAAGATGCCCGTAATTATAGCAGCAGACTGCACGCCACACAGTTAACGAGGAAACGAGGCGCACTGGAAAACATGGTATCTGTCTTCTATTTTAGCCTACACTTTAGAAGTCAGCACTTTTCAACCAAGATCAAGGAAAGAAGAGTTTCGATTTGGACTCATGCTAACAGAAGGCTCCTTTTAGCAGCGATTAGATGGGGCGGGCCTTGTTTAGCAGTTTGAACTTTTTATATGAACACATAAATAGGAAAAACTTGCTATTCCTTACATCCTTCCCTCCACTTCCTTCTGCCCTTGGTCATTACGCTCTTTTCTTTCCTCTATTCGATCCATCTGATCTTTCGCCAGCATTACGTCTTGACTCCTTGCCTTCGATTCGTTTCTTCTGAAAGATGGTTAGACTTGAGAGAAAATTTGCAACACTTCTTATTCAAATCACTTTTACGTGAATGCTACTATAACATATTTGTAGACAGCTGCATATCTAGATCGTGGTCCTAAAACTGGAAGGGTGGACAGTGGTTTCATCTACCATTTCAAACCCCTGCTTACACCTGTTTTTAATGCCACTTCCTGATGACCAAGGGCACAGCGCTAGCAGCGGCCAAGAGCACACATCACTTCACTCCCCCGCACATTTGTAGAAGACGATGAAAGAGAAACGCTTTAAAGTCAACAGCTTTCTATTTTCTTCAGAACCACATGACTGTTTAATTTCTGTTTCTGTGCAGCAAAAAAAAGTGCTATTGACATGCAGGAAATGACTGAATATTTGCCGACTGACATGCATTTCAGATTGTCATGAAACTGTAGTTGTCCATGTCTTCCATAAGAAACAAAGGTAGATGACTGGACGAAATGGGAGACCAGGCTTTCTTCCGTGCCCGGGAAAATCATTGTTGAGCAATGATATAATTAAATCCAGTTCAGAGAACATAATCCACAACTTGCCAGTCAGTAGGCCAGTCAGAGAAAGTGGTAACGGAAGGGAGCCAGCTCCTTTACGCGGAGGTACAACCCGAAGCTATACAAATACTTAAAGGCAAAAAAAAAAAAAAAAGATGACTAAATGGAGATTTCAGAAGTCATCAGAAACAGCATGGCTATACGTACGTGGAGCTGAAGTCGGCCCAGTTGTTGGGGGTCGTGGAGGGCTCTGACGAGGTCGCTGCCAACGGAGTGGGTGTCTCCCGCACAGCCAGTTTGGGTGCAGGGGTGGAAGACAGGTCAGTCACTGGTTTGCCTGGAGCAGGAGCCTCGTTTTCTGGGATTTTCTCTGCGTAGTTCGCAGGAAACCATCCCGTCTTTCCTTTTAATTCTCCTCCAAGCCATCCCGGTTCTCCAGTTTGGCTTTCGTCCACCTGCAGGAAAGTCGCGGTTTAATTTTAGTGCGACTAAATCAACCCCTAAAGACACCAAACATTCTCCCAGAACAAAGCCCGAAGCCGCTGACCCTGTCAGACTGACACACGGCACAGACGGTTCTTCATCTTATTCTTAGACTGAGTCTGGAAAAAAACAGTCTCTAAACATTGACTCTGAAAAAATAGTAGGTGCTATAATTCAAGTTCTTATTCTTTGTGTTTTTTTAGCTCTCCCCCGCTCCCTTTTCTATTAATGGCAGTTCAGATAAAGTGCCTGAAGTCCTAAGGCCCATAGTTTAAGATTTTAGAGCGATTTTGAATTGGAAAGTGATCTGACACACTTCATCACTCAAGAAGTCATGTAATTATTAAACGTAATTTGACTTGGCTTTATTATTTAAAGTTGAAAGCCGAGGGTGCAATCAATATAAATTTAGTACTCTAAAAATCTCTCATAATGAAGTAGTTATTCAGCGTAGGGACAAGAAAGATAAAAAACACAGCCTTAGATGGCTTCCATGGGAAGTAAAGTTGACTGCTGTGTTTAGTCATTTAAAAACTCCACAGACACATAATGAGAAAATTAAGGGAATGATTATTTATAGTAACCATCAATTTAATTAAAGTCCCATAGTTTCCTTTTGTACGAATTTAACTTTAATTTTCACAAAAGTGTACATGAAAATATAGAATTCTGCTGTTTAAAATTTTCACAGAGGGTATTTATTATACCAAATGCTTTTAATGTTTGCATTTTATTTTAATTCTGACTCAAAAGGATCATTCAGAGTCGGCAGAATGATTCTACTTATCTTCGCGAGTTACCCCCACTATTTTATGAGCAACAGAAGAATGACTTTGGAGGACAATTACATTCACTGTTAGAAAATTATATTCATTATTATAAGTGAAATAAGGGCCTATCAGAGATCTTATCTTATTTTCAATCCCTTAATATACAGCCTAAGTACGTTAAACACCGAACACCTCATTGGACATTAACATTACTTTTTAGAAATCACAGAAATGAGTAGGTAGGGTCTTAACGATGATTTTGGAAAAACTGGCAAAAATGCCAGTCTTCTAATCCACTCAAATATTCGGAAAACAAATAAAGCAAAAACTAGGGAACCAAATGCTATCTGTATTCTTGTGTAGAGTACATAACTGGATGTAACAGTAGCTTACTTGAATTGAAAAGAACGCTTGAGATGGGATGGAGAAAGTAGAATACTCAGCTTACTACTTAATTCTACATGTTATTTATAAAATATTCAGTATGACGGGGACATCTGCTTGCCTCTCCACCTTAGGGAACCCTTATTGTCATGGGTAAAAGCAATTTTTAAAGCTAAGAGTTCTCCCAAAAAAAGTTGCCGGAGATAAAGTGCAATACTGCTTCGAAGGTTCTGTGTTTTGCTTTACAGTTGTTATTCCTGCTAACGCCGAATCCGATGTGTACACATTAGCCACTTGCATTCAACGCCCCCGCACCGTTTTGTTTTTTCCTTTTTCTGGGCAGCCCCAACTGTTCCTCGAGACGAGGATTTAAGACGACATTTTTTCCACTTGGATCTTATTTTATGCTAAACTCAAGAGCTACACGCCTCCCCTTCCTCATCTATACTTATTGGTGACATTATGACACAGTTTAACTTCACAGCTGCTCTGCACTGGCATCGCGGCTGTTTTTAGGCCAGCTTGTGCCAGGGCTGCCCCGATTTCTCAGTGGCTTCGAAAGCCGGGCTCCTGCCCCTCCCACTCATTCCAGGACCAATGTCAAGCAGGAGCGGGTTAGGGCCGGAGCCACACAGTAACTCAGCCTCAAGAAGGCCAAGTGTGATGACCAAGGGTGGGGCTCAGCAATCAGACTGCCTCAATTTATCGACTGGCTGACCTTGGGCAAGTTTAACCTCCTGTTGCCTCTGTTTCTTGACCTGTAAAATGGGGATAATCACAGTCCCTGCGTTATTATGGTCGTTGTGAGGATTGTGAAATATTTAGAACACTGCCTGGCACAGGTGCAGCATTTAATGATCAATATTGTAAAGCCACCTCTCCTCTGGCCCAGCTCTGACTGCGCTACAGTTCTCGTGTCTGGGTTTCTGCTTGTTCTACAAGCCTGGCCTCCACCCTCACCTGCCTGGTACCTCCTGCTTTGCCTTCCGGCCAGTAGTAACCCTTTAGGGGCTGGAGTTCAACCCCTGATCACGGCTTCTCAGGAACTCCTACAGGTCTGCACAAGTTGGACTTCCTGGAACGTTAGCCGCTTTACTCATATCCTCTGAATGACTGTCATTCCTGAGACATAGTCTTATCTGGTTAACAAGTCTTGTGGTTGATAGGTCTGGAATTGGATCTGAAGCCCTAAGGAAATGTCCCACTCTGTGGGCGGGTCTAGCTCCCACGCTAGTTAACTGATCACACCTGGCCCTGTCCGCTGATATGACAGAAAGCATGCTTCCCCACCGAAAGGCGCTTTGTATGCTGAGGAAGGGGAGAGCGTGCCTTGTATCTGTGCAAATAGGAATTTCTCCCGCCCTTCAAGCCATTTCACATTTAACTAGGGAAATTCACTGGTCAACTTTGACCAAACAATAATCTTAATTAGTTTGATCTATTCTTATAGAAATCCATTAATTTTTATGAATAATTAAATTTTAATTTTAAGGTTCGGAGAATATAATAAAATTCTTTTTTCACATTAAATTAAACTAACCAGTTAGAGAAAGCACAAAGGTTCTCATATGAAAACGAGAAGTATTTCTTCCTGGATTTGGGAAACTACCCAAAATGTCAATCTAATTGTGGAAAAACATTACATAAGGTTAGGATAGAACAAGAAAAGTTAGACATCCAAACTTCCGGTAACGTGGCTGGCTATGACATGCACTTTTATATACATAAAGTAGATTCATCTATTGGTGGCTATAAATCAGGGGGTTTGAAATGTTAACAATGTCAGTCTTAACACAGCTTCATTTAACCAGTTCAACTGCAACACCTCAAGGCATCTGCAGAATATCATCAAAGGGAAAAGTGCGAATCCCAGATAGTGCCTACACATCTGAGAATATGGAACAGATCTAGTCTACGAGATGTAAGCAATTATACACTGTATACTGCAGGGCATATACGCAGCAGTCAAAAGCACACAGCGGCTATCAGGTTCAAGTACACGTGGCTGAAGCCCAATGACATTAGGTCTTTTCTTAATGTTTATATGCTTCATGGCTGCCATCATCATTATGTAGGTAGCTTTAATATTTCTAAAACCACTGACTTTGTCACAAAAAGGGAAACAGAAATCCCCTCCTTTCACATGACAAAGAACACGGACAGCAAATAAGTTTAAACTGTGTACCGACTCAGGCCAGCTCATGTGGCCACCTGGGATATGCTAAGGAGTATGGGAGCATTTGCCAGTTGGAAATATAAGGCCTCCCTCAAAACTCCTGGATGAGGATATTACGATTGCTTTCTAAAGCTCTAACCCGGAGGCTAGCAAATTTTTCCTCTGTCACATCTGCAATTGTAGCACAAAGGCAGCTGTAGACAATATGTAAATGAACGAGCCTGGCTGTGTTCCAATAAAACTTCATTACAAAATAGGCAGTGAGCAGGATTTGGCCCACTGGGATCATATACGTGTACTGATCCCTCAAAACAGTGATGATACTATGACTAATTGTTACAAAACCAGCAGAGCTCAGATGTTAAGGTTATGGAAATCTAAAGCAGGCAGGAAAGAAAAGTTATTGACTACACTTAGAAAAATCTCTCCATCAAGAGAAGAAAAGGTAAAAATGAGTTTACCTTTAGAGTAACACTAAATTAGAAGATAAACAATTTCCAAAATGAATTGACTGGTCGATGGCTGACAACTGCTGAAAAAAAAAATGGTCTCCTTTTTAGGGTATTTCAAGAAGAAGATATTTTCCAGAAATAATTTAGGACTAGTCCAGACAGGATAAAGAGATTAGGTTTTATCAGCAGCTAGATCAGTGGTTCCTGAAACTAACTCCCTAAAAGAACCACATGGAGAGGATTCTGAGTCCTATCTATGGATTACATATAGTTCCCAGTTTCTGGGGGTCAGCCATTCTGGAGGAATGTTGATTTTTTTAAGCTCCCTGAGCAGTTCTGATGTATCAGTCTTGCACCATCTAAATCTGCTGAAGAAGATGATCAGCCTGTGTTCTTAAGACAAACCTCAAGAAAACCGCAAGCAGAGAGAGGTCTTCTAATTTCTTACGCTATTACGATACATTCTAAATAATTCCAATACATGTCAAATTTGCTTATTCAGCCTCCAAGTACCAGCCCTCCAGATCAGAAGACAAGCCATAGATTTTCAAAGTATCTAAGCCTGAGCTGGCAAAGTCAGACTCAACCAAGAGGCTTCTGTTCCAAAGTCTGAGAACATCAGTCCAGATTCGTTTCCTCTTTGAAATCCTAGCAGAATCAGTGAGCATTCACTGAAAATTTCATCATGCACTGGCCTTTCCATGTGTTTTTCCCTATTTTTCTAAAAAGATTTTAAACACATGAATGCCAGACCTCATGTTATATTTCTCTGTATTATCAACAACATGTAGAACAAGACTATGTACAAATTATCACTTCAATTTTTATCAGCCATAAAAAAACATTTTTGGAGAACACTATGTTGATAATCAAGTTTTTTCAAAGACTGCCTACGTTAAAAAAAGGAAATACTGTCAGACTTCTAAAATCTAACAGGTATAGTTAGCTATTTTTCAGATGTTTGAGCAATCTGAGAATCTGATTACTGTATCCACAAAAGTGAACAAGTCCTAATTATTCAGCCATGAGAGGTTGACAGTAATGTTCTAACTACATATTTTCGTGCTCATGTTCCTTAATTGCAAACTTCATAAAATAAATTAGTATTATTCTATGTCAATTTCCATTTTTATTGTGCTGGATGTCAACCTCACAAAGGTGATACAATTGAATGCCATTGGGAGGCGGGGTCACGCTGCATTTTGTAGTATAAAATGAAGCCACTGCTCCTGTCCCTTTGGCAAGCCAATAAATTACGCCTAGCAAGACAGTCTATATTTCATTACATATCTGGAATGTCTATGGTAAAGTAAACACCATTCAGTTCTGGGTAGACATTCTCTGTTATCCTTGTAAAAGCTGGATTTATTTTTAGTGCTTTATTAAAAATTACAAAATGCTGATACATTTGTAAATATGAAAATAATATAAAAGTACATAAAATTAAATATGAAAATCTCTTTATTGCCCAGTAGTAATCAATGTTAGCAGTTTGATGTCTATATTTCAAGACTGTTAGCAATACATACATAAACACTTACATATATAACCATAGTTATATAACATAGTTTTTTATTTAACCCAAGTGCATTTATACCCTTTATATTGTTTCTGCTTTTTTCTTTTACTAGAGAATTTATTTGTATATGTAGATCTACGTTAATAGTTTTTTATTTAACCCAAGTGCATTTATACCCTCTATATTATTTCTGCTTTTTTTCTTTTACTAGAGAGTTTATCTGTGTATGTAGATCTACGTTAAATTTTTTTTATTACAGTGACATTGGTTAATGAAATCCAGTAAGTTTCAAGTGTACAGCTCGGCAGTAAGGCATATACACACATTGGTTAACGAAATCCAGTAAGTTTCAAGTGTATAGCTCGGCAGTAAGGCATATATATATTACATTGTGAGATCCATGTAATTTTAAAAAGCATCATTATATTTATTGTTTTGCTGTACTATGTCTTTAAACCATTCCCTTACTGATGGATAATACTGGGTTGTTCTTTTTTGTTTTTACCAACAGTGCTGCAGTGAATATCCATATATACATATATTTGTGCATATGCCAAAAAAACAGAGAGAGAATAACAGAATTTCTGAGAATTTTAAATTTGAATAGGTATTGCCAAATTGCCTCCCAAATGACTTAGCCAATTCATACACCCATGCTGACAATATTATATCCACTTTCCTACACTCCTGACAAAACTGTGTATTATCAAACTTTTAAACTTGCTCAGTTGAGAGATGAAAAATGCTATATCTTGCTTTTCTAACTTGCATTTTTCTGATCACCAATGAAATGAAGCATCTTTCTGTATATTTTAAAAATCATTTACTTTTCTTCATCTATAACTGAATCTTCATATCTTTGGCCAACTTTTCTAGGTTGTGGGTTTCTTTCATAGTAACTTTTTGGAGTCTATATAATATGGATTGTAACCTTTTGTCTCATGTATTTTTGTAATATATGTTTTAATTTTTTTATATTGTCAAATTTGTCCATTTTTGTCATTTATGGCTTCTAGTTTTAACTTACAAAGTCATTTCTTAGTCAGAATATTATTCCAATACTCATCTTTAAAAAGAATATTTTTGGAAATTTATCTTTTAAGTTACAACTACTTGGAACTTATTTTTGTCCATGGCCTGAGGTAGAGATTTGACCCAATAACTTGCCTTCGAGTTAGTCCTTAAGTGGAATCTAGCAAAGAGAAACCCGGAACACCAACCTTTACACCTTTCTTCCTTCCTTTCTTCCTTTAAGCAAATGTTCTACCTAAACTCAAAAGGTATTTTTACTGCCGTGACAACATCCAAAGATATGCGTACTTACACAGAATTAAAGCGATTTAAAAGAACAAAACATTTAATAAGATGCGGACTTCCTGACAGTTACATAACACTTACCCATTCCCCTTTAACCTCCACCAGGAAAGCAAAGGTTTGAAAGCAAGGCAAAATATATGTTTAATGAAATGTTTTATTCTTACAGTATTATCTACACTCTATTCATCTAGTCAAGCTGGTGGTTAACTAGCCAATTTGAAGAAAAGGACTCAGTATCATTATAACAAGACTATATTTCCAAAAAGAGCAACATTTTCTCATTAACATATAGATCATCTGTAACATTTCTTTATCTTAACATTGGTAACACTTCCTCATCTCAAGAACAGAACACTGTTTTTCTGTACTTTGTGTTGCAACAAAATCCAGTTTCGAAAAATTAGGCTTTAAAAAAAAAAGTGTAAAAAGCCAATTTTGTAATGAGGTCCTATCTGATGTTGCACTGTACGTTTGTAATTTTTTGATTCCTGCTATTACATGGTATTTAAATATTTTACAATTAATCTGCTTTAAAAGGCATGCTATTTCAGAGATGAGGCAGTATGAGTAAAGCAGCTTCAGGCCATTAGGAAACACGGTGTAGGACACAGGGGGTGGTGGAGAAGCTGTACACCTGGCCACCTCGCATCACCACGCATGGGTACAGAGACGCACCCACCCTTAAGAGAAAACAGCAGTTCTTTCTATAAAGAATGAGTGAGGCTGGCACCCAGCATGTTTCAGGCATTCAAAAACAGTTGAATGAAGGCTGGACTATATTTGAAGAGGGTTTCAGTAATGTTGAGAAGATTTTGATTTTTAAAGATTCTGGACTCTTGGTCTTGACTCCTCTATTTCCAGCCTATAATTAAAGAAAAGGCTACCAAAAAAATAAGGGGAAAAGAGACTGATTTTTCTCAGTATAAACATGGTATTCTTTATATTTTGGCCCATTAAAGATCATGTATTCTACACGGAGAGCTATAACATATATATGCAAAATGCATGAGTAATAGTACAAGGACTCACATAAATACCCTTTTATACTTCAGAGACACGTAGTGCTAGCATGAGAAACATGTTCGTTTCAATTTTTAACTTTCCTAGTTCATTTAAAATTCTGACCCATTCCCATCATTTTTAAAAATGCTAACAGTAATGCAAAGTTTGACCACTTCTAAGACTTTTATTTTAGACTGAGGAACTACTGTTCTCTTTTATAAAATAATTTAGGTCAATCACATTGCTTTATTCTTTCTTAAACTGGTTTTAGTTGCAATCATAAGAGTATATATACTTAAGAAAGCATATTTACTGTATTTAATTCATTATTCACACAATTCAAAGTTCACACAAAGAGAAAAAAGATGCTCTGACCCAAAGATACAGAAGTTATCCTTGGTGATTAATGAATATGACAGAGTATTTTGCATTTAAAACTATTTCTTAAAGACTACTCATAGCATATACATAGTAATCTAAACTCTGAAACTACCAGATCTTTATAGATTTTAAAATATGCTAAGGCTGTGATAAAAACTCATTTTCTTTCACAATTCTATTTCAAAGTGATGTTAGGATATATTTTTAAATGTCTTCTTTCATCCTAATAGACAAGGAAGAAGATTGAGATTATACTTCAAAACTGCCAATGCTGGATTATTGGATTTCACACTCACTAACGATTTCGCAGATGTCAGATAAAGTCCAAAAGAGCGCAGATGCTGATCACCTACAGAAATCACTTTCACTGGAGTCACCCTTACCATGACTATATCTCCCGGCTGGATCGTGATTTCATCGTGACTTCTGGATTCAAAGGGATACAGAGCTCGGTAATACACCACTTTCACATTCTCCTGCGCAGAAATTGTAAGTGGGCCTTTTTCTGTTTACAAAAAGGGAAGGGTGTGGAACAAAAAGAAAACATTACACAGGACACAAACGCATGACAACAAGCCAAATAACGGACGTCTCCTCTACTGCCACCTTAACATCTGACCTACATCCATCCATTCAAGGAATTTCTGAAACACGCTGAATGCGAAGGGGAGGCGGATCTGGTGTCAGCACATCAAACCCATTGTTAGTAAACTCTCTAAACAAAGGTCATCCCAATGCCAAGTGCAGTGAGGCTGTCTAGGGTCCCGGTTCTCGGCCTCCTGGCTTAGGCTCTAGCAGCGCACACCTGTAAAGCACCAAGACCCCTCGCCCCCCCACACAGGGTGTGGAGTACAATGTAGCAAGCAGTTCGAATGCGACTCAAAGTCTGGATCAGCCAAGAAATGCATTTGGGAGGGGACGAAGAGGCACAGCCTTCCAGATTAAAAGACATAGAAATATTGATGTTTTAGGCTCTCAATGTAGTCATATAAAACACAAGTGCGAATTTCTCCAAGAATAGTTATTACTAATAATTGCTGGTGAAGTAAGTACCTCTTCCCCTACATTTCCTTGGGTTGGGGGAGGAGCAGGAGTTTAGCCTAAGGATCACCCCTAGATGAAAATAATTTAAATTTTAAATGAAATGAAAACTTTAAAAACGCATTGAGCAGAGGACATTTTGGATTCTGGTTTACAATAACTAATCACAGCCCTCTAAATTGTTTTACCCAAGTATTTTGACATCCACCTATTTTCTCTGAAAAGCAGTGAGGGGAAGATATTATCTTCATCTAGTCTTAAAACTGAATAATGTGCAAAATTTCCCACTAACTGAAGGAGAAAATATCCTCATTTTATGCCAGGAGGAACCATAAGGAACTAATTGCCTAAGATCAAGTAATGGTGAAATTATTTTCCTATCAAAACAGAATGAAAACAGGTATGCCTTCCCGTGGCACGGGCGCTCCTGTGTGGATCAGCTGACTTGCCATTTTCCTCAGACTGGGTGCATCTGAAGGTAGGGAGGGTGTTGGACCTGACTCTGAACCTTCACTCCCATCCCTACCCACTGTGCAAACAGGAAACAAACCTTCATAGAATAATGTTCCTTTCTTTTCTTTTGTATACCAGGAAAAAGCACACTGATGATCAAACCAATAGAATCAATATAATTTACCATACAAAGAAAAAGGCAATCATTTCATTCGGCTGAGTATTATCTGCAAAGCTGTACAATATTATACAGCCACGCAAGTATTTTTAAAAAACATTCTAGCTTGCATCTGATATAAGAGACATTTTCTAGCTATTTCAAAGTTTTTCATTTATCATTATCTAAAGAGGCAATTTATGATCAAAGGACAAAAAACAGTCACACTTTTCAAAAGGTCAAGAACACAGTTTTATGCAGTGCAGACTGAAGACAGTGAATGTCGTCGCGTCAGTGCAGGCAAGGAGAAAAGCTACCACTTCCTGCCACTGAGACAGCTCAGAAACTCCCAGAGAAAATAACTGGAGAACTGGAGAACCTTTTTTTGCAGGAAAGGTTACGACCTCCATTTGGAATACAGGTGTATGAATGGGGCTTCGTATTGAAACTTCACGACACTTTTGTCAGCAAAAAGCTACTGATGGCAGTGTGATGGCAGCCAAAGGTTGATGGAAGAATTAAACGGATTCTAATGATCCTAAAGAATGAACAGCTGCACTGTCCCAAAAAAGGAGACTGACATTCTCACCTCTATTAATATAGACAGGACAGGGCCTGATTAGACATGGAAATTTCTCAAGAGGATCTGGGAGAGAAGATGATTTATTTTCTAGAATTATTTTTGACCTCTAATACCTGCGGTGGACCAGGGTGCTTGGACAGCTGGCTTAGCTGGTTCTTGGTGTTGATGGAAAAGCCGACTCAGCTTGTCTTGCATTTCCTGTTTGCCTTTTTCCTCGCCGTCCTTCTTTTTGACACTCTCTTCCCTTTTGAGTTTTTCCTCATCGTGGAGCTTTCTTGGTCGCTGATGCTCATCGTCCTGCTGCACGTGCTCAAGCCACTGCTTGTCCCTTTCCTGAGCTCGTCTGTCAACAAAACGCTTGATTATAGCAAGGAAGCAACTCCAACTTAACACTGCTATTGTCTCTTTTCACAAAAAAGCTCCATCTAGTCAATGGGGTGCTAAACATCAAGGAGACTCTGTTCTTCAGATGGAGCAATCTGAATCAACGAAAGAAAAGCTCTCAGGGCTCCAATTCTGAGTGAGATGAAATCACATGATTTAGAGAAACACAATAAGAATATTTCTGATAAAGCTTATAAAGCGATTAGAAAAATAAGAAAAATATTTCCCAATTTTAATATCGGTATATAAGTGGAGGGGGGCGGGGAGAGGCATAACACACCGAAGAGAAAGTACACCTCACACTGCAAAGGAAATATTACTTAAATAAATCCATGATCAATCAGATCATTGAAGGTACACCACATTTACATGCACACACAAAGCTCCTCAAAACTGATGCTCAAAACAATAGATTATTTTAAACTCTTGAGGTAGTAACCATCCGTTACTAAGCAATAATTCTTATATACTTCACTGAATTCGACTACTCCGTGTTCCTTTTTCAAAGTAGCTGACACAAAGGAATAACTACAATTAAATCCTTGAAAATTAGGATGGCCTCGACTTGAAACCCATAGGAAAAGGCTGGGAATGATTTTTCTCTTATTCTATAATATTTTATAAAATCAGAAAATACTTTAAATGATCATACTTTAAATGAAACTAACAATAAATGATATGATGTTAATAACGATGTTAATAATAGCACATTTATTAACTACTTTAACGTTTGCACTGGGTAGATAGGTCTTATTATTATTTACAAATGAGGAAAATTAGAGATATTAAGTGACTTGTCCAAGGTCACAGAGCCACACCTGCCTTGGGTTCAATCCCAGGCAGCCTGCTTCTAGAGTCCACACCATAAACTACCATCCTGTGACACGGCCAACGCACAAAGGTCATCTCTTAGAATTAGGAAACTGCCAAGGGACCATAATATAAACAGATAAAACTTTTACCTTCCACTTAAAAAAATAGTATATTTCTACTCTGTAGAAATGTGAAAATTTAGTACAGTATAATTCTTTTTAGCTTAAATCTTAAACATTTTACCTACAATTTTCAAAACATCTTTTAAGAAAACAGAAAAAAGTTTTGGAGGGGTAGGGATGTTAGTTGTTATTCATGATAACGAAAAATTTGCTAAACATTTACTACTAATAAAGCTCACCATTTACGGTGTATAACCATGTAATTTCTGAAGTCATATTTTGTGTACCATTTGCCATACAAATGTAAGCAGAAAATTTAACCTTTCTGTATTGATATTTTGTATTTATTTCTAGCCTGAGAAATGAGAAAGTTCAGTGTAGTACAGTGTGAATAATAAAAGTAATCTTATAAACTTTGAAGAAAAGGATAGAATTAGAGTTAATCAACACATTCAAGGGATTAATTCTTTGTACATAATCCTAGTCCTATCCCAAGAAAACCATAAAATAGGCCTCTAAATTGGTTTGAGACCCTACCCACCTCACTACTCACTGGCATGAAAAACCCGCAAACACCAGACGCAGAATGCTATTTAAAGCCAAAACACGTAACTGAGCTCAGCCCAGTCAAGTTAACGACTCGCCTAAAGTATCTGTTTCTTCATCCTTTTAGTCTCATCTCAATAACCAGTATTTACAATTTATACTATATTATTGGGGTAGTTGGTCATTTTTGAGTCTTGGATTCTAAAATTAATTGGAATGTAAAAGTCAAATATCCAATAACAAAATCAGGTAGGTTAAAAAAATAAATGTCTACAGTTTACTGTTGAAACTTACAAATAAAAAACACAAATATGCACACAAAACCATACAAAAATGTGTCTGTAATCCTAAGTAGCAGCAGTAGCAAATTTTCTCCTTTTGTACTTTTGTTTAACTTGAAGTTGAAAAAAATAGCAGAAAGAAGAGTGACACACTCAGTGCTGCTGGAGAAACCCGGGTGGCAAGCGCTCAGGGGTTCCGACTGCAAAGCCAGCACTCTGCCCGCCCCTGTTATTAAAAGGCTGTGAACTGGAAGCGTATTTTGGTCATTGGCATGCAAATGAGCACACCGAGTGTCCCAATTTCCTTGTATAATTCCATTTATCTACATGGTGGTAATTTAGGAGAGCTCTGGGAACCAACCAAACACTTCAGGGGGGACTTATATATGCAAAGATTCACATATACACGTGTATGTGAGCATGTGTGTGCGCGCGCGCACACACACACACACACACACACACACACTACTGAAGGCTCTTTCTGGTGCACTGAGTACTTGGTTGAGCCAGGCGAAGAACAGAAAATACTCAAAGTTCCTTCTGGATGGAGCCACAATCCACTGAAAAGACTCACCTTTGGGCTTCTTCTTTCTGTTTTTCTAATTCTATGATCTTTCGCTCCTGTTCTTTCTGTTTCAGTCGTTCAGCCTCTATGGACTTTTGTTTCTGGAGTTGCTGTTTATTATGTATTTCTCTTAGTTCCTATAAATAATCAAGAAACAGTCCGTGTAATGCGTGCAATGACAGGCATTTCCACTGTTTATCTGCATGCAGCATTTCATAGCGAGGAAGCCCAGGCACTTAAGAGATAATATTTCAGATATGAAAAATGTTAACTTGGAAAACTAACATCACTCTACATTTTAACACGACTGAGCTCCAAAAGCTGTTCAGGATTATATTTTAGTGAGCCACAACACGTGACACCATTTTCCATGATGCGCTCCAGAAGGGACCTGCTAGTGAAGGGCATTAGAGAAGCTACACTGCTCAAGACTCAGCAGTAATGATGGGCCTTACCCAGTTTTAAGACATGGTGACGATCATGAATAAATGATGAAAAATGAAATTCTCTTTCCCGGTCCTTCTACTAATGAATATCAGCATCTACTGGCTTTGAAAATAAACACACCTCTTCACACACTGTCTCCATTAAAACCTCACCTCCTGCTTATGCTATGCTGCCTTAAAACAAATGGATATCCTCCTGCTCCACCTGGATTTTCCCTCTCCCCTTGGGGTCTATTTTTCTTCAAAACGCACCTCTTTCAGAGCATTTTCTCTTACTAAGTTCGTGTGTGAAGTGGTCAGCTGCACCAGACTAAACCAGCTTTCAGGTTGGAAGTTCAAAGCTTAATTTCAAGATCACCACCTCGGATCCGGTTTCCTTGTTTGATACTAACCCCAGGAATAACAGTAATTTCTTTCATGGGATATTAAAAATAAAATGCATTTTATGATATTTAAAGCACTCAAGTCAGAAGTTTAAACACCCTGAGATCTGAAAAACAAAGAAATGACAGCTAAGGGAGAGGTCTTCTGATTGCACGGGAATCACACGGGCACTATCAGATCCAGTCACCGCAACTCCTTTTAGTTGTGTCAACAGTAATCGGATGAGCCAAAGTGTTCAGCAGAGCCAAAAGTATATTTCCAGTTGACTTCTTGGTCTGGCTAACTGGGGTCAGTCCCCCAAGTGGACAGCCAAGGAGGCTATACGGTGAGATTTAAGGCCTGTCCTGTTGTCTCTCGCCTTGCTCTTTGGCAAGTCCAGATGGGTAGGTTTCCTCCTGCCTTAAGTGTCCACCTTCAGATTCATTTAGAGATTGAAGCGTAAGGTAGAGGAAGGGTCTGTAGAAGATCCATGTTAAAATGCACTTACTCCTAGGGAACAGCCCTAAATGTTATTAAGCTAAACTTTTCTTACCAGCTAGACCGTTCTTAAGATAAAGTTAGAGTGTAAGGACAAGCATTTTGTATAGTGTATAAGTGACTTTGAGAGGTTCTAAAAGGGATCAGTGAGATACGAGGAAGTCTTAACTAGAGATCAGGTTAGTGGGAGGCAGGTACTGGGGGCAGGGAAGACTGGGGTGCAAGAGGCATGAGAGAGGGGAAAGGAAGGGGTTTCAGTGGGCAACCCAGATGAGACTGGGAATACCCAGGCAGGACGCAGCAGAAAGAGACAACTCTGAAAGGCACAAATTGGACTATTCTCTATGGCGGCAGCCCTGGGCATGTGACTTCCAAATTATGAAGGGTATCTGGGACAGGAGTTTAGCGAGAGAGAGAGCATGGGAGGCCAAGAACGAAGACTGGAAAGTTACAATGAAGCCTCACTCTGAACGTTTAAACTTCTAAGAGAAGAAAATCAATACCGGGAAAGAGAATTCAATTTTCATTATCCTTCTGTCACATCATGAGATGTAAAACTTTAATGTGTTAAAGAAAATTCAACGGTATTGCTTTTATAGTAATTTGGAATCAAGCATAAACAGTAACCTCTAATAACATAAATGAAAAATGTGATTAATATTTTGAATTTAATTTTTCAGAGACAAATGGAAAATATGGACCAATTCCTATTATTGGAATAATCTGCACTCTTGGCTCAAGTTAATAACTACCTCTACATTACAAAATCGTGGTAAAGTGATATTGAATCAAACTCTAAATATCCTAAGAGAGGGACTAAAAAGGCAGCACCTGCACTGACAGGGACCCCGGCTCTGTCATGAGCCCAACGGTGAAAACCCTTTAAAAAGGAAGGGAAAGAAGTGACCAGAAGATTTACTTTTTCCTCCTATTTTAAAATTTCATCTGCAATTGTGAAAAATTCTTAAATAGGTTCAGAATGAATAATTTGTGGAAACAGACTATAAGTAAGAGGCACTGAACTGGGGACTAAGAAAACTGGATTCTGATCTCAGGTCCCTGGTGTGGGCCAGCAGCTGGATCACAGTAGACGACGGTCAGGTTTTCTTCCAGCTTTAAAATCTGTTAAACTCTTAGACAATGTTACATGACAAAAAAATTATTCTTTTATTTAGGGTTTTATTCTTATTGCAGGAATAAACAAACAGGTATATTCTTGTAACCTGTTTATACCTGTAAACAAAATAACTCTGAGCTGAAATTCGCTACAAAGGAGGAAGAAATGATAGGGGAGGAATAACATTCTAGTTTGATGTTCAGGAACCTGATTATATATTTTTAAAAAGTTGTTACTTCATCCAGGAAAAATGTATTTATAGGTACAGTGATAGTCAAAATATTTAACCACAGGTACTGCACAAGCACTGGCCATTTAGAATGGACAATGGCCACAATGTACCAACGCACCAGGTAGGCCATGAGCACACCTGAAGGTTCTTCATTTAACGAAGAATTATATTGCACATTTCTTTTCCATATTGGGTGCCAATAATTGGATGTTGATTTATAAATCAATAATTACCAGACATTGGGAAATAAAGCTTAGTGGAGGTACTATAAAATGAAAAGCATTAAGAAGTGAATTTTAAAAATATACAGAGAAAAAATCATGCAAATAAGTTTAAAAAAAACAATTTTTAAATGTATCTAATACATGAAGGAAGATATTTAAAAAATTTTTAAAGCGCATCTCTTTTTTAGTACGGCAGCATTATAGGATAGGCTGAACCTATCTTTGGAACTGTCTAAATAAGTCACAGCTTCAAGTACCTCCAAGGAAATGGAGCTTGCAGGAGCCATAAAATAACAGATGTCAAACAAAGTAACATAAGGCTTTGGCATCTTATGACCCAGATTTGAAGACTGCACAGTTTTTCTATCATTTCCTTCATCCAATCTGCTGAGACACGTGATCAGTTGTAAGACAAGCAAGATGCTGCAAACGGGCAGGCATTCTGGGTCTTCCTCTCTTTTTCTGGGCTTGGGAGCCTCGGATGGCATGAATCAAAATATGCAGAAAATTTATGATTCCTTAGTTGATAACGTTTTTAAAAAGTTGAACTTATGAGAAGGCAAACTATACAATAATGGAATATGTACTAAAAACTAGTTAATGACTTGCCTCCTGTGCCCGACAAGGACTTTGTGGGACATCGAGTCCTTTCACAGGGGGCGCCCAGGGCTGCCCTTTCTTTCATTCCTTTTCAATACTGTTTAAAAAACTCAAGTACAATGGCAGTTGTTTAAAAGTACCCTTTTAATTCTTTCAGGGAAAACATTTTCGAGGAGACAAATTTGGTGTCATTAAATTCTTGACTTAGGGAATGAGAGAACTGTTGGGAGAGGTAGCTAAGAAAAACCTGACATAAATTCTATCAACTTTTCCTGGTAGTCACCCTGATTAAAGTGATCCTGCAAATTCTACTAAATCTTGTCACAATTATTTCTCTATTATAGCTAAGATAAGAATAGAACAAATGAGAAATTACTAAGAATCAAAACTCAGTATCTCACTTGTGGCTCTTCCTAAAACTAGTATTTTTTTCAAATCAGTAACACTATAATCCCATATTTCTTGGCTGGATATTTCTCTAGCCATATGGTACTGAGTGTATAACTTTGTTGATTTTTCTTCCATGGGTTCTACTCAAGGGTATGATATGTTTTACACTAGGTATAGTGTGTAATAATTTAATATTATCGCCTAATACCTTTCTTAATGAATAAATTATTAAGTGTGCATTCAAGAAGTTTTTGCTACATGTTATAAACAAATATATGGGAAAAATAAAAATCCAATAAAATGTGTAGTATATACAAATTAAAATTAGATTTTTACCACCAATAATATCTACAGAATTCTAAGATACAGCAGAGTTTCTTAACCATGGTCTATGAATAAGCTTTGGCTCTGCAAACACTATAAAACTGCATGCAAAATTGGGGTAATTGCCATTTTTCTTGCAGAGAAAGCTTTATTTGATTCTCAAAGAGGTCTTTGATCAAACAGAGATTATAACCCATAGTAAGAAAATGGCTGACAAATAAAGATTCTGTCTTGTATTAAGGTAAGTGAAAATCAGCTTGCTTTTTAACTTTATTCCTTCAACCAAGAGGGAAAAGTCACTTATTTCCTCTAAAGAATTAAGATATTTGCACCATAAAACATCTTTGGACATTCTACGGCATATAGCCAAAGTATTTCAAAAGCAATATGCTTGACAAATTGAATACTCAAGAAGATCCAACTTTTTGCCCTGAGAAATATGGCTCACTTTCAAGTTTACTAATAGTTGTTCAGTGGCTATGAAAGGGGCACAGAATCACTTGAATTAAAAACTGTGACTGTCTCTTCTTCATTTAGTTTTACAGACACTCAAAAATAGATGTCTTTTGTAAGGCAATATTACTTGAAATATAGAGAAGAATCCACCTGAACAATATATATGAGATTCCTTTTCATGAACATTACTTTGCATAAAGGCTGGTGAAGGAAGAAAAAAAGTAACTAGCAATAAGGGGCCTAAAAAAGACCAGCATTTAATGGAAATTTACTGCTAATTTGGCCACGTAACTTTTTTGAAGAATTACTCTGCTTCTGATTTTTGCTTCAGGCTGTCTTGCAAAAGAGAGACAAAAACAAACATCCCTTGATTAATTACTTGAAATTCATGGATCTAACACTAAAAATCAAAATAAGGACACATCTCTTATGTTTATAATAACGTTTGTAGCATTAAAATTAAATGGACCACATAGGAAACTGATCT